AATGTATGCTCAGCATGCATTTTTTCAGCAATGCCAAAATAAGCCCCTCCTGGGTTAATAGAAATATATAAAAATATTAGCAGTGGACATACTCTCTATTTTGCTTGAGGAGTATATTGGCTATTGAATGTATAGTTTGAAGCATAAATGACTGATGTGGCCACGAGAATGTTCTTTCTTAACCACAGATAAATGTAAATGGCGAGTGTTACAGAGTTAGGAGCAGCTTGTACTAAAATAATGTGACAAATCTAAGTTTGTGTGTAAATAACAAAACAGTGTCTATCCAGATGTGTATACCAAACTCATATTCCAAATCAATGAGTGAAAACATGCAAATAAATGTTTTCCAAAGGTACCAAGTGCAAAAGCATAAAAAAGCACTGTTTTTAAGATCCTACCGGGTGCCCTGGTTTTTTGATAATTTGTGACATTTTTTAAACTGTATGGTAAAGTTTTTCCATTTCTGTAGTTTTATTTTATTTTGCTTTATGACCCTTTTATGGGAATGCCAAAAGCTTTTCTTCAAAAATTCCCCCATAATATCTTTGATTTGAAGTCAAGGTGTTCCTTCTTTTAACCACTTGCCGTCCGCCTGCTGTTTATAAATGGCAGGATGGTGGCACTCCAGGGGCGGGTTGCGTTCATAAACGGCACCCGCCTTTTCTAGCTGTGCGCGCTCCCTGGGAGCGCGCAGCACCGCGATCCGGTTCCCGCTGTGTCCTCCGGACACAGTGAAACACCGATCGTCGGACGGGACCTCTGTACGAGGTCCCGATCATGTGATCACTGATTGGCTAATCAGTGATCACATGCAAAGTAGTAAGCAAGATGTCACTTGTGACATCATTGCTTACTACATGTGAAATCTGTGAATGATCACAGAGGTCACATGGTACAAGGCTATTCACAACAGCCTTGTACCATGTGACAAGCTGTGACCAATCACAGCTCACTCAGTACTTCTCAATGACTGCAAGAATGCAGACAGAGAGAAAGAGAAATGATTGCTTTTACATCCTATATGGGCGTAAAAGCAATCAGTGTAAAAAAAAAAAATCTTCATCACCCCCCACAAGTAGTACAGTGTCACCATGGTGACACTGTACTGCTAGGGTGACAGTATGTAAAAAAAAAAAATTAAAATAAAAAAAAATAATATACAAAAATAAAATAAAAATGTTTAAAAATTATAATTTTTGGTTATAAACTAATTTTGGATTTTTGTTTTTACTAAAAAAATAACGGAATAAATTTTGGCCAAGATTTATGATGAAATATTATTTATTTGCAAAATTTTATAAAAAAAAACACTTTTTTTCAAAATTTTTGGACGTTTTCATTTACATAGCAAAAAAAAAAAATAAAAATCCCAGTGGTGAATAAATACCACCAAAATAAAGATTTATCTGTCTCAAAAAAATGGTAAAAAATTCATATGGGTACAGTATTGCATGACCGCGCAATTGTCATTCAAAGTGTGATAGCGCTGAAAGCTGAAAATTGCCCTGGACAGGAAGGGGGTGAAAGTGTCCGGACAGGAAGTGGTTAATATTTTTTCTATATCTTTGGTAGAGGTATTCTATGAGAGCAGCAATATCACTTTTTTTTAGCCACTTTAGAATTTGCTGCCTACAATGGAAAATGTTGAACATGCAGCAGTCTCTCGGCAATTATCCGTAGGCTGCCCTTTCTGTCATTTGGAGGGATATCCCATTGGACGTTGACGCCTTTGTGACTATAGGTACATCAGAGCTCCAAAGGCTCTTCTCATAAAGGGCTTTTGGAGGGATGGTTGGGAATCAATAGAGGTGGGCTGTTGTATTGGTACCCAGTTTGGGGTGTTTTTTTCCCCTCGTACTACACTACTAACATGCTATATTTGTGAGTAGTTGGTAGTCCTCCCGGGGGGGGGGGCTAAATGTGGAAAGGATGAAAGAGAGTGCACAAACCTTGCGCATTACCTCAATAAATAGTGACTAATTTTATTTAATTTAGGAAATATACTCACAAAGGTGACGGTAAAACAGGCATAAGTTAACCATAATCCACACAGGGTTACAGGTAAATCCAAAGGGGGGGGATTAAAAGGTAACGCATTTCGAAGGGTGCTCCCTTCTTCTTCAGAGCTGGGTTGAGCAGATAGAAACTTCAGTATGGCAGAGTTCCCATGGCAAGGAGACATTCAGCCACTGAGTGTCAGTATTACAGCAGTTCAGCCTGTTTAGTGTCACTATCTATCTGCTCAACCCAGCTCTGATGAAGAAGGGAGCACCCTTCGAAACGCGTTAGCTTTTATCTCCCCCCTTTGGATTTACCTGTAACCCTGTGTGGATATGGTTAACTTATGCCTGTTTTACGTCACCTTTGTGAGTATATTTCCTAAATTAGATAAAATTAGTCACTATTTATTGAGGTAAATGTGCAAGGTTTGCGCGCTCTTTCTTTCATCCTCTTCTACAGATTTATTAAGCTTCCCCAGCTTCATGATAGAGCTGCACAACCTCTGATCACCAGCGGATGAACACGCTGTTTGTTACTAATGCCCGAGTGAGCTGAGTCTTTGAGTGCAGGAGATAATGGATCTTTGGAGGCTAAATGTGGTTGGTAGTCCTTAAGGCTGATTATCCCAATAATTGGTGTTCATTTAACAAAAGTTTTACAGAACCTGAAGAAGTGGAGTTCGAGACCCACAATATGGGTTGTGATATATTGTTCTTCTTCCCCCAGCCAGACTTTATCTTACAGTATTAAGCTTTGGAAAAATCAAATCAAGTTACATTGAGTAGGCTGGGACAAGTAGCAATATGCTGTGAAACATATTTGTAGAATTTTTATATATTACTGTATATGTATGTACTCCTAAAACATAAGTATTGTTGTGTGAAATATGCCACATATTTAAATGTTTTTATAATAAAGGGATCCTTTTTAACAGTACAGCATAGCGATTGCATTAGACACCTCTAAAGTCCTATGCTGGAGGAAACTTGTTTTCGTGATTTGTAAGACAGATACAATTCCAGTTTTCAGGTTTCAGCGCTCTCACATTTTGAATGACAATTGCGCGGTCATACAACATTGTACCCAAACTAAAAATTTTATCATTTTCTTCACACAACTAGAGCTTTCTTTTGGTGGTATTTAATCACCGCTGGGGTTTTTATTTTTTGCTAAATTAACAAAAAAAGACCAAAAATTTTGAAAAAAAAAAAAGTTTTTCATTGTGTCTGTTATAAAAGTTTGCAAATAAATAATTGTTCTTCATAAATTTAGGCCGAGATGTATTCTGCTACATGTCTTTGGTGAAAATAACCCAAATTAGGATGTATTTTTTAGTTTGTAGGAAAGTTATAGAGTTCACAAACTATGGTATAGATCTGAATATTGATCAATCCTGAAGTACTGACAGCCAATCTAATTTCTTGAGGTCCAAGAATGTCAGAACAGTATAGATATCCCCCAAATGACCCCTTTTTTTGCAAAGTAGACAGTCCGACGTACTTCATAAGAGGCATGGCGAGTTTTTTTTTTTTTTTGAAGTTTGTACTTTTTTTGTCATAATTTTTCAGAAAATGAAAAAATTAAAAAAAATTAGTTTCACTATTTTTTTTTACATACTGCCACCAGTGCAGTACAGTGTCATCATATAACTGTCATGGCGGTGATCAGGGACACTGATATATATTTTTTTATTTTTTTTTATTTTTTATTACATTTTTTTTCTTTTTTTTAAGATTTTTTTTTCATATTTCACTATGACCAAAGTAGTACAATGTTACCATAGTAACATTGTACTACTTTGGGGAAGTGATCAGTATTTTTTTTTTTTTTTTTTTTTTTTTACACAATTTGCTTATATCAAAGAATTACTTTGCTATAAGCAAGCATTTACCTGAATGACATCGATTCATTCAGGGTTTTTTTTTTTTTTTTTTTTGTGCTTAGGTGTGATTTGGCCACAGCTAATCACATGACATGTGCATGTGACCTGCTGTGACCATTCACAGCTAGACACTAGTATACAATGGATGGCATGAATGAAGCCATCCATTGTATACAACTGTCATGTGACCTGCTGTGATTGGTCACAGCAGGTCACATGGTACCGGCAACGGGGCCGATACTCAGATCTGTCATCGGCCGTGTCCAAGGTACACAGCCGGTGACAGATCGCGCTGCTCTGCAGGAGCGCAAACTGCGCATGTGCGGGAGGACGCCATATGGCGTCCACCCGGAATGCTGATGACATTTGCTGTCCGCCGAAAAACCGAAATTTGAATGAAATTTTTGTTATTCAGAGATTCGGATGTATCTGACTCTCCGAATCAGAGTAGTAATGAATTTCAACTAATACAAAACAAATTATAATGAAAACATCAAATAATTTGTATTTATTTGTTTCATTCGTTTGCGACTTTAGAGGGTTTCATAAGTTCAATAATATGTGTCATGCTCTGTATTGTTATGATTGGCCAAAGTCCCAAAACATCAAAGTCACAAGCAAGTTGCATTGAAGTCGCAAGCCAGTTGCCAAAATAACATGATGACATAAGGAATGAATCCGAATCTTCTGAAATAACTTCCAAAAATATGAATCGATTCGAAACAATGAATATACAAAACTATATATAAATAAATGGAAATGCCATAAACAGTGCTGTTTATGGTATTTCCATTTTTTTTATATACTGTTTTATTTGTTTAAAATAGCAGCTCTAATCACATATTTGAAGAATAGGAATTTGATTCTTATTATATCACGTCAGTTCGGCGCGGTGATGTAGACTATTAATTGATTAATCTATTAATCTGTCAATTTATTTGATATATTGATATTAATTTATTCTAGTTTATATACAAAGTTTTTTTAATATACAAAACTAATCCGAATATACAAAATGAATTCCGAAAACAAATAATTCTATCATAACGAATATGAGGAAATGAAATGATTGACTTTACGAATTAATCCAAAATGAAACATAACATTTTTTTTTTCGTGGTGCACATGTGATTTTAGGGATGATGGTGCAAAGCCAAGCAACCCTGGCAAATATACTGTATGCAGGGGCGGACTGACCATTTGGAAACTTGGGCACTGCCTGAGGGTCCGGGGTCAGTAGGGGGCCCCATGAGATGCCCCTGGTACCTTTTTCATAGGCTTTTTTGAGTTTGGGCAAGGACACAGAGGCCCCATGATCCCCTATTGCCCGGGGGCCCCATGAGTTGTCAGTCCGCCCCTGGCTGTATATATAAGGTATCCCTACAATTTAATAACAGTTTCACTTGGGGGCTGCACTGTTAGATTATTTTCTGTAAAGAAGTTCGGAAAAAAGGTTATAGTAAAAAAAATAGGTTATAATGAATATTGATAAAGCTTGTTTCGGATGTGGAGCCAAAACAGGCACTAAATTGTACAAATACAATCTATATTGGCAGTTTCTTAGTAGCAATGATATATATGTATTTAGTTTGTGATGATGTATATCTGAAAAGCTTATTTGCTGCACTACCTTTGGCCGTGTGTTGACTTCACGTCTTGTTAGGATGACGTTCTACAGAGTAAGGCAAAGAGCCATGCGGGAAGGAGAATTTACTGCCGGTCTTTGGTTTCTTTCACCGGCGGTGTGCTAACAATATTGCCAAACTGATTAGGGTGACGGAGAGAAGTTGTTTTCCTGTGCCGTGCCTGGTGTGTGTTGATGTTAATTCTTCATGCGTTGGTGCACTACAAGCGGGTTTCTTGTGTATGCAGTATATTTTGCCCATGTGTCAAGGCCTAGGGCTCCTGGCAAATCTCATGCTCATTTCTCACTAGTATCTCATTTTGATTGATAATCTGATATAGGTCACACATTTCGAACACACTGTAGCAGTGTTTCTCCACTGTATTATACGATGTAGTCCTTTATTACAACAAATGTTTACAAAGAACTGCCTGGCGCGTGTTACTCCCTTTAGAGTCTACATTTATTGGATATAGCCTCTAAATGTATATTACTACTTTCAGAGCAATCCTTAACATGTATAAAGGGCCATTGATGAAAAAAAAAATACTGATAACTGTATTTTATTGACACATGTACCTTTTAGAATACATTATATTACTTTTATTATTATTATTATTATTTTTATATGCCTCTATATATTTTTTCTCCACATATACTTGCAGACCAAGCTGTTTAGCCAATATGACCGTGATGGGGTTTAACCTCCCTGGCGGTATTCCCGAGTGTAGCTCGGGGTAAAGAGTTACAGTACCAAAAGCGGTATCCCCGAGCTACACTCGGGGTTACCATGCAGCGTTGCACAGGGATTCCCTGCAGCACTTACCTTGTCCTTCGCTCCCACGATGTGTCCCCTGCAGCGTAGCCCCCCCCGGCCATCTCCTCCGGCCAATGCCGGCATCCGGCTTCCATGTTCCGGTCCCTGTGACGTCGGGACGTACGGGCGCAGGAACCGGCGGCAAATTTGAAAATTTTAAAAATTAAATTTTTTTTAAAACGATTATTACATAGTAAAACATTTGCTGTTTCAAACCATTTCACATACATTTTGTCCCGAGTGCTTTGTCCGGTGCCCTGCCTGCATTTTGTCTGTTCTTTCTGCCTGGAAACTTATAAATGTCCATGGCGTCCAAAAAGCGTCCCTTTATGTCAAAAAGCAGTTTTAGACCGGCTAGAGAACAGCGATAGTAAATCAGAACCATTTGCAGAATTGAGTGATAATGATTCGTGGGGGAAATTCGTCATCAGACACTGAAAACGATTCTGCGACTTTGCTCAGCGATATGCGAATTTGGCGCTTTATTTCACATTTCAGTGTTTTTGGTTTGATTATATTATTGAATTAAATTTATTATTATTATATTATTATTTTTTATGAGTATTTATTAAATTATAATTTATGATTTCGTGTTTCAAGTTTTATCATATCCGGAATGTTTACTAGACTCTTGTCCGGACAGATTTCAGTGAGTTATTCCTAAATTACAGGCCTACAATAAAAAAAACTACATAATTCCATGCAAAATAATGGTACCGCTTTCAGCACCAAAAATCTGAAATAATCATACCGCCAGGAGGTTAAGGCAACATGTAATGCCCCTTTATATCTATTCAGTGCCTTGTGCTACTGTGCGCACAGTAACACGCATTATTGTATGCTTTAACATGTGTTAAGCTGTTGATTTTGAACACCAACACATACCAAAAACTGGACAGGAACATCTTTTTTCACTACAGCTCCCCATAACTCTATGAAAACAGTGTTGTCACTGCAGCAGTGTAACGCTCCTATTGAAGACAATCCCAGCCAGTTCGATCCAATTCTTACCATCCTTGCTCCACCAACTGATCCACTCACAATTATAGCACCAAAAACAAAAATGGAGCTGCTCTCCTTCCGAAAGTCCAGAATTCATTTTATTGTTATCAAGTACTGGGGTGATTCACCTGCTCCTCGTATGCTCCACTGTACTAGAAGCTTAGCCATAAAGTAAAGCTAAAGCTCTTCAATCATCCTTCCAGCCTTGCACTCCAGAGACAGTATACAGTCTTTGAACTTGTTTGTTTTTTTTTTTATTAGGGGATTTGAGCTTGGATGGAGATGAAGGATACATAGGATGCCCAAGGAACTGTTTAACTGAGGCCAACTTCCTGAAACTATTTACAAGTGCTCAAAGGGGTTCTCTTTCTCGGAGAGCTATCCAGTCCCTCCTGGTGTAGAAATCCCTGTACAAGGGGATCTAGAGTCTGACATTGGCTGGGGCTAGTCAAGTTTGCCACACAAATATACTCTCCCCTATTCCTAGATTGTAAGCTCGAAAGAGCAGGGCCCTCGATCCCCTCACGTTTTGCATTGTATTGGTATTGTTCTGTCACATGTTCTGTCCCCCTTTGTAATGTAAAGCGCTGAGCGAACTATTGGCGCTTAATAAATACTGTATAATAATAATAAATAATATTCCCATTCAGGAGGTGAAGAAGTACTCATTGTCCCTCCTCTGTAAGCTGCAGGTTGGCAGCTGCTTTCAGGCCTTCTGCTGGGCTAGCTCTTTCCTTAGCCCCACAGATTCTCCTCTTTCAGGGGGCTGGCGAGGTTCAGATTTCCTCCTTTCAGCAACTCTCCTGGAGGCAGGCCCCTTCTCTAGGCCTCCTCTCAGGCTCTACTCTCTAGCTACTGTTCTCACATCTTCCACCCAAACTTCCCTGATACTGAGCAGGCTCAGTCTTGAGGGCTGTCCTGACCCATGCCAAGCTTCCAGCTTGGGGATTGGTCAGAATCCTTTAAGAGTGCAGACCAGCTCCTTCTCGCCCCCTCCTACTTAGTTCAGATCAGAAGGAGTTATCAGTGAGCTGATCTGCAGAGCCTCTCAGCCCCGGCCAAAATCTGACCCTCTGACTATTGCACCAGGCTGCTATTCAGCCTCTGACTAAAAAATAATATTTAACTAGCTCCCCCCTAGCTTTCCTAGGAGGCTACTATTTTTTTAACTTAAGGTTCCACTTTAAAATTGAGAGAGTTTACTTCCACTTTAATAAATCATTTAAATATTTTTTTAAATTAAAGCAGCGTAGAACCAGGGGCTGTGCTGCTTCTGCATTCACTGTCCAGTCATAGGATAGAGCAGGTCCAGGATGACCTGAGTTCAGAGGAAGTAAGTTGAATTGTACTGGCCATCAGACTGAGGACACATCCAGTGGCACAAAAATAGTACTGTATCAAAGTTCTTTGGATTGAAGGTAAATATTGTGGCAGAGTTTTTTTTTTTATGTTCCAATGGGCTATTCGTCATATATTCATTTAAGCTTCAGGTGTATCTAAAACCAAAACATTTTTTGTTTTGGATAAACTCGGGAAGGATTGGTACCCCCGGGCAGGTTTTTATCTTTGTCTGTGTCCTCTGGTAAGAAGGTTTAGTCTTGCTATTTATCCTGACCATTGCCATCAGCACTTAGGCCACTTTCACACGGGTGTTCCGTATGTCCGTTTTTGATCTGTCCGTTTATGGATGAAAAACAGACACACATAACTAGCGGATGCAAACGGATGATCATCTGTTTACATCCGTTAATGTCTGCATCCGTTGACATCCATTTTTTTGAATGGAAGAAAACCCTATTTTTCTTCCGGTAAAAAAATGGAACGTAAGAAAAAAACGAATGTAAATGGACAAAAACAGATGTAATGGACAAAAATCTGATGTAAATGGACAAAAATGGACGTAAGTGTACAAAAACCGGATGTAAACAGATGAAAACGGAGAAAAAACTGATGTAAACGGACAAAAATAGATGTAAATGGACAAAAATCTGATGTAAATGGACAAAAAATGGATGTAAATAGAAAAAATCTGATGTAAATGGACAAATATGGACGTAAATGGACAAAAATTGGATGAAACCGGACAAAAACGGATGTAAACGGAGAAAAACAGATGTAAATGGACAAAATATGATGTAAACGGACAAAAATGGACGTAAACGGGTGAAAATAGACAAAATGGATGTAAATGGACAGAAACAGATGTATACGGAGAAAAACTGATGTAAACGGACAAAAATAGATGTAAATGGACAAAAATCTGATGTAAATGGACAAAACATGGATGTAAATAGAAAAAATCTGATGTAAATGGACAAAAATGGATGTAAATGGACAAAATCTGATGTAAATGGACGTAAACGGGTGAAAATGGACAAAATGGATGTAAACAGACAAACAGATGTATACGGACAATAACTGATGTAAACGGATGAAAAAATGGGTGAAAAATGGATGTAAGCTGATGAAAAATGGATGAAAAAACTGAATTGAATGGAAAAAAACCCTATTTTTCTTCCGTTAAAAAAATGGAACGTAAGAAAAACGAATGTAAATGGACAAAAACAGATGTAATGGACAAAAATCTGATGTAAATGGACGTAAGTGGACAAAAACCGGATGTACACAGATGAAAACGGAGAAAAAACTGATGTAAATGGACAAAAATAGATGTAAATGGACAAAAATCTGATGTAAATGAACAACAAATGGATGTAAATAGAAAAAAATCTGATGTAAATGGACAAAAATGGACGTAAACGGACACAAATCGGATGAAACCGGACAAAACGGATGTTAACGGAGAAAAACAGATGTAAATGGCCAAAATCTGATGTAAACGGACAAAAATGGACGTAAACGGGTGAAAATGGACAAAATGGATGTAAACGGACAGAAACAGATGTATACGGAGAAAAAA